AATTTATCTGCTCTGAAGAGCCATACCGCGGCAACAGCTCAAAATATTTTAGGTCTTTTGTTAAACGGATAGCGCACACATTGCTCAAGACCTCGCAACTTGAAATCTTTTGATGATTTTCTGGCATGTATTCATACTTTTTTTGAATAGCCTTGAATAATATTTCAGTTAATAAAATGTAAGAAAACCGAAGAGTTGTCGATCGGTAATAAATAGCCCTATTATGTTAGAAAATATCTAGCTCGGCCTTTTTTTTTTCTGCTAATAGTCTCCAAAGTAAGTTGACTAGAGGTGTCTTATTAACGTACTAGCTTTAATTTTCTGCCAAATGTAATAAATAAGGCTGGATAGGTGTTTTCATGTGGTGGTGTCCTTTATATGTGGTAAAGTATATATAGAGTGGTATAGAACTTGATATAGCATAGCAATAACGCCAAAATATTTTTCCTTATTTGTGATATGGTATTGCCACGAGAGATTTTCTTCAATGAGCTCCCTTAGATATATCTGACTTTTTTGTGTGTTCTATGGAGATCTAACCGGTCCGGGCATATGTCCAGGTGTATTTATTTACATGGCAATCTTCTCTGAAAATGAATTCTGCTGTATTTGCTCCCTATTTCTCATTCTATTTGGATTGAGAAAAAAAAATCGTTGGATAGAAAGCATGTATACTACTTCGGCAAGCAGACGTAAAACAAAAGTGTTGAAAAGTATCCGTTATAGGAAAAAAAAAATCATTTTTCACTCTTTCCAATTAGACGCCTGGTTGATTATTACGTAGATCCGCTCTGAAGGTTGATTGGCAACCTTGATGCATTGCACGCCGCGAACACCATTCCCGAATTTCGTGTTACGCGAAATTTCTGATAGTAGTAAAAGGCTTTCGTTATCGTCTTATTTAAAAGCAATACTGTTCATATTTTTCATTTGCTTATTGTAAATATGTTCCCTGTTTATCCTTTCATATTTTTCTTATAGTGTTTTGTACATGGGTTTGCCGTTGTCGAACGGATAGCCAAAACGGCTAAGGCTATCCGTAACTTCATCCGTTCGAACCGTGTACTGTGCCTTTATAGGCGAACTGTGCAACCATTTGACAGCAAAAAACAACGAGGACGCGACCACGGATGACTATTTTGTCTGTTTGCGAAAAAGCTTGCCAAAAGTGTTGACCAGTCAGAGTGTGCCATTCGCACGAGCACGATTTCAAAAAAGAAACAAACGGCAGCGTTGCATCATGGTTGGCAATGAGCCATTAAACGTCATTACATAATTATTACATATTTGTGGCTTTAGGTGGGTTTGGCAAATTTTCAATAGGAAAGAATTAGAATAATTATGCAGGTCTTGCAGGATGCCTGCTGAGGTGGATAATATCCTCTTTCATCAGCATAATTCTTCATATCTTACTCTGCGTTATTCAATAACTGTTTCGTAGAACTCCAGAATATATATATATTAAATCGAGATGAGTGTGCTGGAAGTTCACATTGCCAACTGCAATTCAAAATCTTCTAAAAAAAAGTGGTGTTTAAAGTTCCCTTGAGATAACATTTCATGAATAAATTATGAAGACTTGTCGTTTGGTGATAAATTAGCCTTTTTAGGTCAACATGTATTTCACTTTCATGTTCTCGATGATAACAAAAAAAACTTCCCGAAATAATCCGTAAAAATAGGAAATCTTGGTGTGGAGCACTAGGCTTCTTCTTTAAGTTAATCGTAAATTGTAAATATATTTTAAATACGATATTATTTTTAATTTGTTTGAAAAAAAAAACTTAATTAGCCGTCTAAAAGAACCGCAAGTGCGAATGTCAGACCCCCGTTAAGATAAAGCTCTTGGCAGATGAATAGATAAAGTCCAGAAATTGGCAGACAAAAGAAGATGATTATGCAAATGGCCCAACGTAAAGACTCAGCTCTGGCGGAACAGTTTTCATCATACGCGTTCTGATACTGGGAGAGAAGCTTTATCGAAACTTTTAGAACTTTGTGTGGTCACCGCACGTCTAGTTGGTGCCTCTCTAAGGGACAGGAATACTCTTCCCGGAGGGAGGGGGGAGGGGGGAGGAGGGAGTTACCCAACAAAGATAGTTGATACCGGGCAGGAACCTTGTACGGGCACGTTACGACCCGAGGTCTTTCCCCTTACCCCTTTATACACCACTTTTGTCAGAAATGGCACCCCTTTCACATACCTAGTTTAGAACTTTGCCAGATAGTTTTTAATTGCTGTAAATACACTTTCTTAAAAATATGAATGAAATACAAAACCAAAACGATTTCTCGACTATTTCACAGGCATTTGAAAGACATTAAATGCATCTCATAGCCCTTTAATTGGGCCTTTTTATAAACTTCAACTAAGAAAATTCCTACCCTTTCATATACATGAAGCCTAATCCTTTATAGGGACCGGAGTACCCCCGGGTAGTCGGGTGCCTCTCTGAAGGGCACCAATGTGGAACATCCGTCATGATTGAGCTTGCTGCAAAAGAGAGAATTCATTACTCGAGGAACTCCTAAAATTAAAGAAACAGATGTTAGTGCTTATTCTATTTTTTTTTTAAAGTTTCAGAACTCGCAGTTCAAGCTCTGTATGATGTCCCTGGCACTTTTCACAATTTGTCTTATATCCCAGATGCATGGAAGTGAGGCTGTTGGTGGGCAATGCAAAACTTCAGAGAGATCAGTACCTGGTAAAGCTCTCAAGGGTCACACCTTCAGAGAGTTTGCAGCGAGGGCCATTGTTGAGTGCCAGAACACTTGCGAAAGAGACCCCAGGTGTGCGAGTTACAATTTTTATATTCCGGGCAAAGTGTGTGAGCTTAACAGCCATACCAAGGAGGAGAGGCCTGATCATTTTGTGACGGATGAACTGAGATTCTACATGAAACGTGAAGGTATGAACTACGTAAAACTTTCTACACCAAACACACTCTCAATTGGATCCCTCGATTCTCCTTATGAGTTTGTCCAGCTGGCGGGGCTAATCTTGAGTGCAATTTTACCGGACTGAGTTTTCACGAGGTTTTGCGAGATACGCAATTCCAAACGAAACCAATTGGATTACTCATGAGCCGATATATATGTTGTCAGTAGTATATCAAAAGATAGTCGTCCTTGTATTCTGCGGATCGATGGCGTACTTGATTAAGAAATAACTCACATTTTCCTTATGCTGTCTGATTTATATCATTAGATGAAGATGAGTGCTTGAAGACGCCACCAGTTTGTGACGTCAACGCAAACTGCAAGAACACGCTTGGCTCCTACCTTTGTTCTTGTAAAGAGGGTTTTACGGGTGACGGTAATACCTGTCAAGGTAAATGATAATAAAAACATTGATTGCACGAAAACGTTAGTGACAAGTATGACCTTTTTATTGCCATTATTTGAAATGGTTTGCTGAGTTCGCAGGAACGCAGTGGTATCACCTTTTTGTTCTCCGTTGCTTTATCTTCAACAATTTGACCACAATTGAGGCTAGTGGGACTACGTTTGTCACGGGCTGCCCACTTTATAAAACAGGCGGACATTTTGTAGTGTCAAAAGAAATAACCATTAACGATTGCGCTTTTCTCTGTCGCTGTCGCAGTTTCGTCGTTTGTCGCTATTTTGCTGTCCTCTGTCGCTTTTTCAAGGCCATCTCGCTTCAGTGTCGAAATCTTGCCTAACAGGGCCTCAATATAGTAGCCAAAACAAGTGTAATCAACGGAGACGCACCTAAGGGTGGGGCTGCACAAAACACTACTGTTGTATGGGCCTGAGTACCCTGCGAGCAGAGGCCCTTCGATCTTCCTAGTTTTTGTATGCGCCTAATAACACTGCATTGCCAGAAAAACTGCGCACGGACAAGTGGTTAAAGCCTATTTCTTGCCACTTTCATTTAGTCCCTAGCTAGCCTAAATTATATGTGTTTTCTTGGCCTAAGTAAGGGTAAGTTAGCGATACAAGTACAAATCTACCGCAAACCATGCTAAGCACTCAGGCTGAACTCTGTCGAAATAATTCTGATGCGTGCGTTTTCATGATAAGTTAAACGATAGAACTTAATAGAGCTTAGAGTGTGAACTTCAAATCTAGAGTCGACTGCTGCGAAAAGGATTACGTAATTATTTTTGCGTTTTCATATTAAGGATCTCTTCGATAAAACGTAACGGAAGAAATCGAAATCGGGGTCGAACTCGAACGGGGCGGACTCAAAAGGGGGGAAACCGGCAGACTCCTTTACGTTCATCCAGAGATTAATAAAGGAGGTATACAGAGGAAACACATTTCCTTTTTGGGGGTAGGTAGCGAAGGACATAACGAACAAACCATCAGTTTTTCCATAAAATGGTGTGTCTTCTGGCTTAGCCACCTTCCTTATTGTCGCAAGCAATCAAAGAAAACTGTACTTTATCATCAAAATGATTTTCTACGAAAGATTTTAACAGACGATTGAAGGAATCATTCAGTAAAAATTATATTCTTCTAAAGTTTGTGAGATACAAACGCATAACTGCAGCTCCAATGCTTTCTGTAACAACACTAAAGGCTCTTACATTTGTACATGCGAAACAGGATATATCGGAAACGGCGTTAACTGCACAGGTAAAATAAGGAAGCGAAAACCGTCAGCTGATAGCACTGAATAACCTGATAGAGAAGCATTTCTATTGAACAAAATTTTTCGAGTTCCATTAAGGTGTATGTTACATCTTTAGGAGTTCTTTAAATTAAATAGTTCCAGCATGATAGAATGTGACAGGCCGCTTGTTTATGGTTGGCATACGAACAGGTTCACTTGTGCGAGTTTGGGGTTATATATTGAGGCGGTGGTGCCGTCAGCGGGAGACGGCGAACCCGGCGATAAGAATAGGGCAATTAAACGTTAAAAGAATATTTGCATATTCGGCAACATTAGCTGGATTCGCCGTTTTTGTCAAGGCTTTTTTCCCTTTTTTTCCATGACATTATTTTGCTATCTACCGCAAAAATCTCCTCGTGCAACTTTCTGTAATTTTGTTCACATTTTGCTTTCTTGTTATTGGATAGTATGTTGCCACCTCTTAAGGAGGGAATTAAAAAAAAAAAATAGCTCGACTGCAGGCTCGCTTTTCCCCGCCCCATTCTTCTGGCCAGCTAGCGCAATTAACCTCGTTCCCTACGGAGCAAGAGAACTGCACAGGTAAGATAAGGAAGCGATAACCCTGAGCTGATAGCAATTACCTGATATTAAACTATTTCTATTCAACAAATGTTTTCGAGTTAGGGATTCTTTAAAATAGTTAAACTAAGAAAGAATCTGATAGGCTGCTTGTGAACAGGCTCACTTGTTCGAGTTTGGGGTGTATTAATGCGGTGGTGCAGTCAGCGGGAGCCGGCGAAAGCGGCGATAAGAATAGACCGATTCTCCAATTCCATACCCAACGTCAAAAAAAATATTTGCATATTCGGCAACTATCATTTGCTGGATTAGCGGGTTTGGTCACGGTGTTTTCCCCTTTTTCCATGACTATATTTTGCTATTTGCCGCAAAAATCTCCTTGTGCAACTTTCTGTCATTTTTGTTCACGTTTCTTTGTTCCTGTTAGATAGTACTTGAAACCTCTTAAGGGGCGAAATCAAAAAAAGAAAATTAGCTCGTCTGCAGGCTCGCTTTTCCTAGTCCCATTCATAATGCCAGCTAGCGCTGGTGGCTTACCGCTAAAACAACCCCAAACTCGCACAAGTGAGCCTTTTCGCAGACTATTTCATCGTTTATCTCACGATAGTCGTTACTAAGTTATTCATTCACGACGATTCAAAGTGCGGACTTCTGGTCTTCATTAGGCAACTGTGTCCAGTATTAGTGTCGCGGAGTTTCCGCAGAGAACTGGAAACTAGCTAGAGGGCCTGGCTTGAAAGGGGGTTTGGCTACTCAGGAAAAAGAAACGGGGACTTGAAAAACAGGTGGTTGAAGCAAACATTGACTTAGTTTCGTTTAATTTCTTGTAGTGTTAGCAAAAGTTTATTTCAAAAGTTTAAGTATTCGCATCCTTGGCGACATGTGATAGCAGAGCGAGGTTACCGAGGTTATCGAGGTTGTAAACCTTTTGAACGTGGAACATGAGCGGATGTATTCTTCAGCGTTTAGGTCCGACAAAGAAGCGACTGAAGGATCGAATTAAATAAACTCAAACCTTTCTCCAACACGATGTTACTCTGGATGAAAGTGAGAACAAAGCCAATCAATTACTCCTCAAAATTGGAAGGAAACCTCAAATCTTATAAAGATTTACTGGTACTACAAGAAATCATTGGGCAAGTGAATGATAGAACTGAAGAAGGATGTAAAAAGCACTACGTTCCCCACCATGCGGTCATCACCCCCGACTGAAAAACAACTAAAGTTAGAATTGTCTATGATGCATCAGCAAAAGCCTAAAAAGGATGCAAGAGTCTTAATGAGTGTTTGCACCGTGGTTCTGTCATCTTAGAAGATCTTTGTGGGCTTTTACTACGATTCGACATTTACAAAGTAGCACTGACAGCAGATATCGAAAAGGCCTTTCTGCAAGTAGGTCTCCAACCTGCAGATCGAGATGTCACTAGGTTCCTGTGACTTAAAGATCCCACTATGCCACTGTCCAAGGACAATTTGTAAATTTATCGCTTTACGAGGGTCCCATTTGGAATTATCTCAAGTCTTTTTCTGCTTGGTGCCACCATTCCCATCACTTAGAACAAGTTGGAACGCCTACTGCAGAGAAGATTATGAAACACATGTATGTGGACAATCTTTTGACTGGAGTCAATTCAAGTAAAGAAGCAAGACAGTTTTTTAGAATCAAAAGAAGTATTTCAAGAATCATCCATGAATCTGAGAGAATGGGGGTCGAACTCGAAACAATTTCTGAAGTCAATTCCAGAGCGGGATAGAGTAAAGGATACCATAACGAAAGTACTTGGAATACTCTGGAACACTATTAAAGATCACCTGATAGTCAAAGGTTCAAATTAATCAACAGAATGTTCCTCGAAAGGAGAAGTGCTTAAATCCGTCGCTACAGTTTTTGACCGACTGGGATTCTTTACTCCTGCAACTCTTCAGGGAAAACTTTTCCTTCAAGACTTATGGGCGTCAAAGAAAGAATGGGATGAGAAACTGGATGAAGAGATGCTTCATAGATGGATGAAACTACAGAAAGAGATGGAATGTATCTCCATGGTAACCATTCCTCGATTCATCGAAAAAACCAACTGTCAGTTGCCGTGCTTTTGTGATGCCTCAACCGAGGCTTATGCCTCTGTTATCTACTTGTGCTCTGATGCTGGTGTTAATTTGCTCTTCTCCAAAGCAAGTTAGAGTAGCTCCATGAAGAAATCAGGAACACCTCGACTGGAGCTTCTAGCAGTGCTTATTGTACAACAACTTTGTACAAGAGCAACTTCAACTCCCGACTGAAAAGAAATTCCTTTGGACAGACAATCAATGTGTTCTTCATTGGATCATGAGCAAGAATCCACTAACAAAAAGTCGAGTCAAGGAGATCACTGAAACAAAGGGCATAAGTTTCCGTTATGTCGAAACCAGTCAAAATCCTGCAGATTTAGCAACAAGAGGAGTCTCAGCATAAGATCGGGACAAATGTGAACTTTGGTGGCATGGACGGAAATGGCTTCAGGACAGTGAGAAAACATGGCCAACTTGGGATATCCCTATGATTACTAAAGAAACATTGGAAAAGATTGAAAGTGAAACAAAGGGCCCGAAAACCTTCTATGAAACCTCCAACTTTGCTGGAGAAAACATCAATGAAGAGAAGGTTGAAACCAAAGATAAGTCAGCATCCTTTGTCACCCCCTTCAGAATGGATGAAAAGAAATATTCTTCCCTTCTTCGGCTTTTTCGAATTACAGCGGGGCTATTAAGATTTGTTCAGAAAGCTAGAAAACAGAAAACCCAAACTGGAGAGCTAAAAGCTATCAAAATCAAGGAAGCAAAAACTCTATGGATCAAGTTCATCCAGAAGATTTTGAAATAATATATAGATTTAGCCAGGGCTAAAAGCGAGGCTCCCATTAATAAATTATAATTTAAATCAAACAATAAACTTGTATTCCACAATTCAGTTAACTTTAGAGCGCATTCGTGTGACTTTTCAGGGAAAGGCTAAGTGATTTTACAAAAAATAGTTTGCAAACAGCCCAAGAGTGAACCAAATCTCACATGGAGTTGATAGCCTCATAAGTACACCCAAAAACTGGCAACCATCTTCGATCACATTTATTAAGAGCCATAATGGCTCATGATCACCGTAGATTAATTAGGCCTGGAAAAAAAATTCCGGCCGAATTTTTTGCGTTCGACAAGTTTATTTTACAAAATCTTGCCAACAAATCTGGGTGCATGTAAACCAACCTTTTATATCATTTATACATCACATCTGAGGTGAAACTACTATATTATCATACAGACCTCGGACAACAGAATGCAGTATTTCACAATATTGCGATACAAATTGCTATTCAGGACGATCGAAGCACGCGTGGGCTTTAGCCGTAAACCGTTGAAAAAATTTTCAAAATCATCTATACGGCCAGCCGGTTCTGACTTTTACAGTGCTAGCAGTGGCGAGTGTTTGAATGAACATTAACAGAGTTACGCCCCAACATAATAAAGAATTTAGTATGTTTATTTCTTATTTTAAAACGGTTTAACGCGCGGCATTTTGAGTACTCCGGGAAGCTTTGTTTACTGAACGACTGAAAACAATCGGCACAACGATTAAAATTACAAGAGAGAGTACTAACAATCAATAAAAGAAATATAATTCGGTGAAACATATACAGAGAAGACAATTTTCATTCAGGAAGACAAGTATTAAAGTGTCTCTAAAAATCCTGAGTCTACAAGCTTAAAGCTGAAGTATATGTTTTAAGCCGGCTTCCCGGTGTTTGCTTTTTTCAAAGACGTACTCGAGGCAAGAAAATCGCTCAAACCTTTCTTTTACAGCCAGAATTATAACTAAATATTCTTTGAAACGTTTTCTTTCTATTTGCGGTGAGAAAATGTCTAAAGGCTTTTTAAAGATCTGCAAGCTTATAACAAACCTGATACTCGGTCATATCATTGTCTCAAATCTTACAAACGTGCGTAAACAAAATAGCCGCATAAACTACACTCGACTTCATTAAATTATGAATAAAAAACAAACATCAAATACAATAATTACTTAGGCTTACCCCTCGAGATGCAGCTCCTGAAAGGTATCAAGTAGGGTCAGTATCGCTTCAGACTTTGCAACCCTCTTACGCATTAAGCAAGATGAAAACGAAAACGATGCCATCCGAAATCGGATGTCCGACTTTGACTCAACCAAAAACCCAATAAACAAACTAGCCATGAATAACAGAAGACTCCTGATAGTAACTGAATTTCATTTTGTACATCCAGTGGAAAAAGAAAGTTAAAAACATCACAAGTTGACACAAAACTCTGTCAGCTTCAGCTGTCAAAGTAAACAAGATTCAAGATGCTGCATAAATTTTCCGCATGAACTCACCTGTCAAATTTTGACCAATCAGAGCATAAAAATTGGACGTAGAGCGTGACCAACGCGTGAACATGGCGAGAAAGTCAAAAGCAACTGTCTTGCCTGCCTGTAGCAGCTGGCTGAATTTTCGCTTCCGAGGTCAGTTTGAAATCAAAATTTTCATTGTGCGGCACATAAACACAACATATTTCATATGAATTTAAAAAAAAAATTAAACTTGAGCCTGCGATCATTTGAAAACCAATACCTTGTCAGCGGATAACTTCAAAAACACACTTGACCTCGATGGGTCGACACCTGAGCCCGCGATACAGTCAAGTGATACTGGTCAGCGGATACCTTGTTTTGACAGCTGTCAATGGATCACAACATTGTCGTGTATCAGTTTTCCTGTGCTCCGATCCCAAACTAGCTAGAAAGTATGAGACTAAACATTGCTCGCGATCTAGAAAAATAATTAACTGGTCAGCGGACAGCTTCCAAATAAATCACGTCACCTCAATGAGTTGACACATGAGCCCGTGATATGGTCATGGGATACTGGTCAGTGGCTATCCTGTTTTGACAGCTGTCAATTGACCATATTGTGAATGTCGAATGTAAAAGATGTGGACTTGGCAAGACACGCCTGAGACACCCCTCCCTTCCTTTTGATAGTCTCCCCTACCCCACCTGTACAATCCGTAGACGCGTACGTACGCTCGGTCAATCACGTGACAACCAAAGGAAAAGAGGTTGACCATAATATATATCTATATGTATGGGTATGGGGCCCCGCTATTAAATGTGAAACCTAGACGAATACTGTAAGCTCATCTTTAATTCTGTCCGACTCCGTCCGCTGTTTTGAACATTTTTGATCACTGGGGCGATGTTTTGATTTGTTTGTTGATAAACACAAGCGCGCCTTCTCATTGGTTGAAAAGTGCCGCGTGACCAGTTGGCCCTGTCCTTAAATTAAGGGATATTCCGGACTGTATACTGGTCTACATTATTTTGGCCCTATTCATATTCAAGCTGAAAGTTCAATTAAAAGGTTTGGGTATGTCTCTTTACCTGGGTCACTGTCAGAGCCATCCATTTGGAACTGGTAAAAAATATGACTGCTGAGCAGTTCCTGCTTGCACTCAGACGATTTATAGCAAGAAGAGGAGAACCTACACAGATTGTACTAGATAATGCCCCACAATTTAAGCTCGCGAAAACTGCCATTGATAAAGCCTGGAAGGAAACAATTTCACGCCACGAGGTGCAAAGTTACACTGCCAACCAAGGAATTGAATGGAACTTTATAGTGGAACTGGCCCCTTGGATGGGTGGTTTTTATGAGCGACTAGTTGGCACTGTTAATGGAGCTCTCAAGAAATCAATTAGCAAAATCTGCCTGACCGAGAAGAAGCTTGAAACCTTTCTAGCAGAGGCTGTTATTAATTAATTCTCGTCCACGTGTTTACGTCGTTGGGGACTTCGGTTAGGGATTTTCGCTTACTCCAGAGGACTTCTTAGGTCTCAATCCCAAGTCAGGGATTCCGGTAATCGAGATCCATGGCCCTCATGATCCAGAGTATGGAAAGAACAGCTCAACTGATAAATTAGTAGAGATTTGGGGTAAAGGTCTGCAACACCTGAATTCACTTTCGAAAGTCTGGAAAGATGATTACTTACTTAACCTCCGAGAAAGTGGTACTAAACTGCAGCTGTGTAGTCGATGTCTGATAGTGGTTACCCACGCTTCTGGAATCTCAATTTGGGGAGTGTGAAAATAAGAAGATATCGTTAATTTTTTTGTACGCGCCTAATAAGCCTGCGTTACCAGGAAAACTGCGTATGCCCTACTCTGACGTGTCACACGTCTCCACCCCCTCATCCATGGGTAGCGCGTCTCTTGCCCCCGCGCCCTTCACAGGCTATGGGGTGGAGACGAATGACAATTCAGACTGCATGTGGACATTAACGTCCATCCGGGGATTAATAAAGGAGGTATGCAGAGAAAACACAGTTTCCTTTTTTGGGTAAGTAGTGAAGGACATTAAACAAACAAACCCTTAGTTTTTTCCACAGACAATTGAAGAAATCATTCGGAAAAAAATAATGTTCTTCTAAATAGATCAATGCATTCTATTTACCATTTTGCAGACATCAACGAGTGTGAGGCTGGAAAGCATCACTGCGACTCCAATGCTTTCTGTAACAACACTAAAGGCTCTTACAATTGTACATGCAAACCAGGATTTACCGGAAACGGCGTTAACTGCACAGGTAAAATAAGGAAGCGGAAACCTTCAGCTGATAGCACTGAATAACCTGATATGAAAACATTTCTATTCAACAAATTTTTTTGAGTTTCCGAACTAAATTGAATGTTACATCTTTAGAGGTTCTATAAAATAGTTCGAACATGAAAGCATCTGACAGGCCGCTTGTTTATCGTTGGCATACGAACAGGCTTACTTGGGCGAGTTTGGGGGTTAAGGTGGCGGTGCAGCCGTCAGCGGGAGCTGGCGAATTCGGTGATAAGAAAAGGGCGATTAAACGTTAAAAAAGTATTTACATATTCAGCAACTATCATTAGCTGTATTAGCGGTATTGTCACGATTGTTTTCCTTTTTTAGAAAGACTGTAATTTGCTATCTGCCGCAAAAATCTCCTCGTGCCGCCAAAACAACTCGAAACTCGCACAAGTGAGCCTGCTCGCCGACTGGTTTATCGTTCATCTGGGGATAGTCGTTACTTAGTTAGTCATTAACGACGTTTCAAACTGCGTGCCTCAAGTCTTCATTTGTTAGGCGATTGTGTCGAGTATGGGTGGACTAATAGTTATTCCGTAGTTGCTAGTGATTAGCATTACGAGCCTCATTTGTGGTTGGTGGGCTTTTCAGCATCCATGCGGTCCGCAGTGGTACTAATAAGCCTCTCTGTTGTCGATGTATGATCGTGGTTATCCACGCTACTGGAATCTCAATTCTGGAATCTCAGTTCAGGGAGTCTAAAAATAAGGCGATATCGTTAATATTTTGTATGCGCCTAATAAGCCTACATTGCCAAAAAACTGCGTATGGCCTAGTCTGAAATGTTACACTTCTCCATCCTGCTAATCCGTGGGGGACGCGTCTCTCTCCCCCTCCCCCTTCACCGCGGGTTATGGACTACGTATGAACATTTGCGTTCATCCGAGGATTAAAAAAGGATATATACAAAAGAAAAATTTCCCTTTTGTGGGTTGGTAGGAAAGGACATAACGAACAAACCACCAGTTTTCCCATGAAATGGTGTGTCGTGTGGCTTAGCCACTTCATTTATTGTGGCAGGCAATCCGGCAAAGAAAACTGTAATCATCAAAATGATTTTCTGGGAAAGATTTCGACAGACGATTGAAGGAATCATTCAGTAAAAATTGTATTCTTCTAAATAAATCAATGCATTCTATTTTATTATTTTGCAGACATCAACGAGTGTGAGATACAAAGGGATAACTGCAGCTCCAATGCTTTCTGTAACAACACTAAAGGCTCTTACATTTGTACATGCGAACCAGGATATATCGGAAACGGCGTTAACTGCACAGGTAAAATAAGGATGCAAAATCCCTCAGCTGATAGCACTGAATAACATGATAGGAAAGCATTTCTATTCAATAAATATTTTCGAGATGCATTAAGGTGTATGCTACATCTTTAGGGGTTTCTTTAAATAGTTCCAACATGATAGCATCTCACAGGCCGCTTGTGAACAGCCTTACTTGTGCTCGGAGCCTGGAACAGGCTAGTCCGAGTTAAGGGTTACGGTATACAGTGAAATCTATATTTAAGCGGACACCCTCTATTAAGCGGACAGTAGCCGAAGTTCCCAAATTTGTTTTCCTTCCTTTTTTAAAATGGAACATTTATTAAGCGAAAGCCTCTATTAAGCGGACGCGGACACCTAAAAAGTACCTGAAAGGGTCATTTCTATTGTTGCTAACCTGTACTAAACGGACACTTCTAATTAATTTCCACCACCCAACATGCCGGACATAGGAAATGCGAAAGATTGCCTCGAATTGCCACCTACAAATTTTTCGATTTCTACTTTAAAAAACGTGATTTGACGAACTTATTTGATTAGTTGCACCGTACGGTATTGTTTTCTATTCCGTTTTGTTTCTTCAAAGTTGAGTTGCAATCTATTTTTATGGTACTATGATCAATTGGTTCTTTTTGATAAAGAAATTAATGCAAACTTATATCGTCATTGTTTCTGGGAGTATTCTAGACGTTTCCACTGACGTTACCTATCGAAACCTGTATTAAGCGGACACTATAGCATTCCCCGAGGGTGTCCGCTTAATACAGGTTTCACGATATGGACCCTTGCTCACAACTTTACATTTTTATGAGGTCGTCAGGACGAACGAAAGCGCACCAGGGGACAGTTAAGGGGGCAGAATATTGCTTTATGGAAAGAACACAAAGAGCGCGCATGGCCTTCCTAGTTTACTTGGCAACCGAGGTAAAGGGGACCTTAAATACTCCTTTCCCTCTCATCTCACACACAGATTTTAGCTACACACGCAATTTTGTGTTACAAGAGTACAGTTGAAAAAGTACTTTTTTCATGACAAAACCAATCAAACAATGATTGTCTGTTCTTGGTTCAGAAATATTGTGATTCACAGACTGACATGTCTATGCACTAGGTGTTGTTTTGACACAATTCAGTGGGATCGCTTGGCTGTTGTTTGCTTGATAGCTTTAAGCGAGCAACTTCTTTCAAATTTAGTCCTGTGTCGTTTATTATTATACAGAGTTTTTTCCTTATCTCAAGTATTTCAGTTTGCCCAGATATTGACGAATGCAGTGTCTTTTCTTCCATCTGTGATATAAATGCTGTCTGTCGGAATAGTGAAGGATCTTACGTATGTTCATGTAAGGAGGGGTTTGCTGGTGATGGCAAGGCTTGCAAAGGTAAAGCGAATGACCTATAACCTATTAAAAGTATAATAACCTATTTAACAAAAGTGTAGTTCTACTATGAACAATTCTTAATTACACGTGCGCCTATTGAGGAATAACTAGACTGATTGAATCATACATATTAGATCAAGAATTGAGAGGAAAAACAAGGAGAGGGAAAAATCAATGTAGGGAAATGGTAGATGCGTTGAAAGGATTTGCAAAACATTTAAAAAGAAAACAAAACTAACTATCTGCAAACATTTCAAACATGTCTGAAAGTGTTTTGTCTGACATCGAGACGCTCATTGACAGATTATCTTTAGAAGACGAGTGGGAGTGTTTCGTCTGATATTCATCCCAGCACTGGCCGCTTGTGTTCAAAAACGGATGGCAGAATCTCGTGTGATATCCAGACACTCAGAGGTGATATACCGAACAGATGAAGGAGCGTTTCGTCTGAAATCAGGACAAAATGAAGAGTGAAACACGAATCACCAATGGGAGTGCTTCATCCAATATCCGGCCACCAGTGGAAATATACAAAACGCGACTGGGAGTGTTTCAACTGATACCAAGACAGAGAGAAGTTTTTAAAAAGAGTTGCGACCCATTTTCCCCGTCGATTTCGATGTTTCGGAATATTGGTTGAAACACGTCATTTATAGCAGGCGCGTTTTGATATAGTTCCTCAGCTCTATTTAAGTTTTAGACAAATTCATTCTTGGAAGTTCGAAAAATGCTATGACGATCAATATTCCATTTCTTTCTTTCTCCTCCATGTGTTGTTAACGAGTTTCAGAGACGCCACCTAGAATTTATAAAATTACTGTAAATCGTGTGTTTGATTTTGCTGTCTTTAAATAATAAAAGTAGGCATACATTTCGTCATATTTTTTAAATGCAATAAGATGAAAATAATCTGTAGCTACTTTCCTCCAGCTTATGAAACCGTTGGATGTTATAAGGACACCGCAAATCGATCAATCTCAAGTTTAGAAGGACAGGACCCAATTTTAGATGGACCATTCACGGAACGAGAAAACGCCATTTCCAAGTGCGCGTCGGCTGCCATCAAAGCGGGTTTCATTATTTTTGCAATCCAGGATGGTGGTCAGTGTTTCTCTAGTGCCACAGCACCGCAAACGTTTGACAAATATGGAGAATCAAATGACTGTCAGTCTGATGGGGAAGGAGGAGGGATGGCCAATCACGTTTATTACATCAAAGGTACGATATAAAAGGAGCATAGCCATATATGGGCTATATAGGTTTATTGTTCATCCAAAATACTTCGCCGTCTCTGATTGGCTCAAATCTTCCGGCCATTTTTCATAAGCAACTGGCGCTTACCATATTTGGAAGATGCGAGCAATGTATCATCGATTCGATGGTATATTTAAGTTTTTCGATGGTATATTTGCCTGAAATCGAGGCTGCTTAAGTGATAGTAAACTAATAAATGGCGTTGTCGGCTTTCCAAAAAACCAAAGACTAAGTTTTCAACAAAGTGTACGAGGATTTATGCTCACTTTACGAGAACTAAGAAATATTTTGAATGAATAATAAAACAATTATTGAATTGGGCTTTTGTATGATGTGAAGAATTATGCTGATCTCGGAGGCTGTTATCCACCTCGGCCAAAAACATTCTTCTCGACCTGCATAATTATTCACATCAACCTCAGCCTCATTCAATAATGATGTTTAATGTACCACTCTGAGGGTTGTGGTTCCAAGCAGTTTAGCCTTGGATGGGGTCATAGAGTTCAGGGCGTTTTGATCTAGAAGGAGGTATCATTTTCCAGGAAACTGAACAAATGGTTGATGATTTTAGTCTGGACTTGGAAACTGCGAATTGACACCCAAAAGGTGAAATTCCAAAATTCAAATTTACTGACAACGCAGTTTAATAGCAAAAGCGTCGACCTCGGTATTGTCTGGAAATAGCGACTCAAGTCAAGTCAAGTCAAGTCAAGTTTATTAAGAAAAATTGAGAAAATACAAAATATGATGTACCACTGCTCGCAGTTAGCTATAGCTATTCGAGGCGAGCAGTGGCTTGACACTAAGTAGAATAATTACAATAACAATACAAGAATGGATGGGAAGGGATTTTGGGAGTTTTAATAGTCAGGTATAGGGTAACAAAAGTCAGCTAAACTAGATCTGGTCAAGAGTCAAGACAGGATCTCTTGATCTGCTATAGACTGTATATATCCCCAGTATATCCCCCGATCTAAAGTAGCACCTTAGGATTTGCAAAGTGCAACAATCCTCGATTTTGAGATAAATATTAGCGATAAAAAATCACGACGTTTCGACCTCTCCGAGGTCATTTTCAAGTGTATAAAAGTTCTCTAAATTAGCATAAATAAGTTAAAAACAAGTTATAATAGATAAAAATGTGGTGAACGCTAAAATGTGATAAAATATGTAAAAATGTAAAAAGTGCTAAAAATATTTAAAAAGTCAAAAAACAATGGAAATAAATATTTTATCACATTTTAGCGTTCACCACATTTTTATCTATTATAACTTGTTTTTAACTTATTTATGCTAATTTAGAGAACTTTTATACACTTGAAAATGACCTCGAAACGTCGAGACGTCGTGATTTTTTATCGCTAATATTTATCTCAAAATCGATTTCTAAGAAGCAACAATCATCGTATGGAATTAACCCATTCGCTCCTGGAGATTTTGCCGAAAAGTTTTCTGGTCATTGTCGTGTTATAAAGAGCTAAAACTTACCACAGACCGGTTTACAGGTCGTACACTTCACGGCCTTCTGATCCAGATGCAAAATATCAGCTTGCGAAGTTCGGGCATGCTCAGAAAGCAAAATTTCCCTTCTTTTTTCGCTTTTCTCGCCTCATTTTTTTTCTCTTGCTGGGCATTTAGTAGGCTTCATTTTGGTGAGAAGAGTTTCCTGGAAAGCTTTTAGGATCTTAGGATTAGGTGAAAGGAAAGGTAGGTGGGCAATGGAACAAGATTTTCGTGGAGATTTTCAGGTCTATGTTACATGGTTCTTTGCCTGTTTCTCCGGTGTCCGTGACTGAATTGTGCTCATTCTGGTATAGTTTGAAAGATCTCTTCACTCTGCACAAGTTAGCGGACAAAGTTGTCCTTGACCGTTAAAACTGATGACGTCACAAGGGGTAGAAAGGACGAGGATCCGCACGGGCGGTTACGGGTGGTTCAGGGGCGAATGGGTTACGCAGTAGGAGAGAATTTCTCGATACAACCAGAGTTGCACTGAACAATTGAAATCGCAGGATGGTAGCTGAGAAACAAGATCTCAAACATACTGCAGAACCTGATCGTCAAAAGTTGGATAGCGCTTTCCACCTGAAAAATTGATATTCGGTGGATGAGTATCACGAGAACCAATTGTGTGCTATACTTTGGATAGTAATTTATCCACTGGATAGCACTTTCTACCCTTTTGACCGCAACTGGGACCAGATGTCTTTCTGTATAACGGCAAAAGTTTTGCTTACCGTATTCATTCGATTAACCGCCCAGGAGCGCTTATTAATTTTTGGACCTTGAGAGTGGGCGCTTGTTCGAGGTGAGCGCTTATTCGAGGCTGGGCGCTTATTAAATTTTCACCATTTTCAACAAGTGTAG